TCATGCAATGTTCAATCTGTCACTTCTGGGTATTGACGACAGTGTTCACTTTTATATAAACATTCGCTCTATCCATAATATTCAGCACTTTAATCCATTAATTTAAGCATGTTCACTGTTTTCGCGGGAAAACAGCATATAGCGTAATGAAAAATGCCACAAACTTAACTAAAATAATTTTTTATCGTCAAAATGCTTATGTTATTATTAAGATGAAAGATCAAAGTGATTTTTTTTTATTTTTTGAAATTTTTTAATCCTTTCTAACACGTTCGAAATTTTGGTTAAATTCTTCTTTTTTTACGTCATCGCGGCGTCACAGAAAATAACATTTTTTTTTTTTGCGATTTTCTTCCGTTGAAAACATATTGATTTGGAAATTCTTGTAAAAATCAACTAATTGTTGGATTTTAATGAAATTTTCAGGACTTATTCACAAATGAATGAAATTATTTTTGAAATATTTTTTTTTAGAAAATTTTGGTAAAAAATATAATTTTTTAAAATATGTTACCCCACATTTACGTAATTTAATGAAATGTCGCCCAAAACCTTTTTGGTTCCTGAATTTTTTTTTTTTTTTTTGTTAAAAGTAAGGAGTCTTCGAAGATGGTAAATAACCTACTTTTTTTTTTTCAAATTTGAGCTATCTAACTGAAAATCTGCTCTGAATTGAAAAATAATGAATCCAATAAAACTATGATATTACTTAATTAGAAAAGCTTTTAATTACTTTTGTAAATAAGTAATATTAAGGACATTATTGTTTGAAGAAATAATTTTTTTCTGATGAATAATTAATTTTTACAAGAATTTTTTCGTTTTTTAAGAAATTTTAATTATAATAATTTATAATAGTTTAAAATCGTGTAAAGCTCTGTATTAGGAGGGTTCCTCGAGGTGATGTAGTAATTAAGTAGAAAAATAATTTACGAGTCCAAAATTGCTAAGATTAATAAATTTAGTTGCGCTACTTTTTTTAAAAATAATTTTTTATGTTGTATTTGTTTACTTAATACATTCCTTATTTCCATGTATGATATACAGAAATTGCCATTATTATAACAAGGTCACGTGATCTAAGGGTTTTGTCCCTTTACGTGACCTTTTCATAACATTTCGTTTCTTACAAGTTGTATTTTCCCTTCAACTTTAAAAGCGTAAACTTTAAATTTTAAAGTAATTTTTCTTTTTTTCATTTACTATTTCACTAAATAATTTTATTTTATGTATTGTATTTCCATTAGTGTGTGTCATACTCAAATAGAATAATTTTTTTAAAAAACTCAGACTTAAAAATTATGTCACTTATGGTCATCAGTAGTAGCTGTCATCGGTTCGTCATTCAACAATCCATCAATAGTTTGAACAGATGAACAGGATCGCTCGTTAATAATTGGTTGTATATTATTTTTTTATGCTATAAGTAACAAAGATTTCTTTCAAATCAGATTACTTTAACTTTAAATTTTTAATTTTACTAAAATAACGTGTCAGAAATTTTTTAAATATTTTCAAAATCGATAAATTTGTGTTTTTGTTTACAAATTTCTTAAAATTAAGGAAATGGCCGATTTTAAGAAAATTTAAAAATTTGAATTTAAATTTGACAATCAAATGTATATAGTTTCTATCTGAAATACACCAGAATTGTTTAATTAATGGAAATCATAAATTTAATGATTAAACTTTTTTTAAAGCTAAAATAAAATCTTCAAGAATGTTTTTTCGTTGTAAAAAATTCATTTTAAACTTAAATATAGAAAATTTATGCCGAAATCGTGGAGATACCTACATTAATTCATAAATATAGCAAACATTCAAACTCTATTTTATCATATCATATTTATATATGTGTGTGTGAGCGTGTGTTATCTTTATTTGCCTCTCTCTTCATATATATATATATATATATATATATATATATATATATATATAAGTCTCAAACGCCAATATCTCATGGTTATAATTTATTACATCGGAATCGTAATCACGATCCAAATCAACAGACCTTGAATTTGTAGGTCTGATGAATTGGATCGTGATTACGATTCCAATGTAATAAATTATAACTATGGAATATTAGTGTTTGAGCCTTTTATATTATCTTTATTTATCTATATTTATTTATTATTTTCTTACTCTGTCCTGAACATTGAGTTCTTTCTGGATTCTATCCTCTTGGAAATTTGTGTGTTTATATATATATATATATATATATATATATATATATATATATATATATATATATCCATGATAAAATAATAAGTACCAATTTCTGATAAACATAAAAGCACATAACCTCCCGATAATGCCAAACATATGAAAATGGTCACTCATTAAAAACTAAAGTTTAGTATTGTTATGGTCCGGTTCCTTGTACCACGGTGATAGTCCAAGGTAGAACCAATAAAGAAGAACTCGAATACAGGTATGGAATAACACAGATATATTACAAACAGGAATATATACAGAGAAGTAGAAGTGTTAGTATGAACAA